CACACATATACACAAGTGCACACATGCACACATGCACATGCACACAAATGGGCATGCCCATACAAGGCATGCATGCACATGTACACACACACGCCCACATGCATACACATGCATACACATGCATGCACATGCACACACAGGTATGCACTCACAAGCACATACACACATGCTTGTACATGAGCAAACATTCGGTCAGATGCACACAAACACAACACGTGCTTTCCAGCCTCACTTTTAAGGAAACACAAACCTCTCACTGGTCTGTGCCTGGACTGCACTTTTCCTGTTGGCCTTGTACACTGACTGGCCTTCCTTCTGCCCCTCAATGAGCCCTGCGTGCCTTACCTCAGAGTTTTTGCACTCCCCACATCCCAGCACATTCAGTCCTTTGTCACAGCATCACCCTTATGGTCTAAGTAGTCTTCCAGAAAAGTTAGTCTAAATTAGTACTTTGCTACCCTCCAAAGAGCTCTGCATGCTAAATGTAGCCTCTGCTCTAAGACACTCATGTTGTTTCTTTGTGGAATTTTCTGTCCAGCCATTTTGTCTAGGCCATGTGTGGCCTGAGAGCCCAGGTACTTTCTCTCTTGACCTCAGGACTAAGAAAAGCCCTGTAGAGAGTGGTGACCAAGGACACCTGTTTACTTTAGTTATTTCTATTAATTAATTTATGCTTTGACATTTTCATACAAGTAGAATGCATTCTAATTATTCTCAGCTCTGACTGCTGTCAAGGCCCTCCTCCTTACAAGTCCCTTTCCCACATTCATCTTTCTTGGTTTTATTTTGTGACCCTCTTAGTTTAAATAATAAAAGGTAGATGAAGTCAGTACCAGTCATACCCCTGCACACAGGTGGCCCCACTAAACTCTGAAAACACTGCTTCTCTGCCCCATTCCCAAGCACCTGAGGACACTACCCTTAAGAGTGGTATGCAGCCTCGTTGGTGGCATTTAATTCAGGTCAAACCTCTCTCTCTCTCTCTCTCTTTCTTTCTCTCTCTCTCTCTCTCTCTCTCTCTCTCTCTCTCCTCCATCTATTCTTTTTTTGTCATATTTCTTCTTGTATCAAAACTCATACTGAACAATGAGTTCTGGGTTGCAAAAGAGGATTTATTTTTGCACCTGTCTTTCATGCCTTTGTCCACCAGTTGAGCAAACACACACACACACACACAAAGTGCCAATCTCCATCAATCCTTCAAGTCACCAAAAAGTAAACTCAGTGGAATCTTTCTTATGTTTCTGGTGGATGTATGGAGAGAGATTCTGGGGCAAGCCTGAAAATCCAACTGGTGCTCTGCAGATAATAGAGTCTCTCATCTTCTCAGCAGTTGGCTTTCCCCACCTGTGGAGGGAAGGAATGAGGCCAAGGGAATAGCCAAAATAATCCAGGCACTGTTAATGGATTCAGTATGAAATGCCCCCTACAGGTTAAGGTGTTGAAGGCTTGGTCCCTAGTGGGTGCCACTATTTTGAGAGGTTCTGGGAATTTTAGAATGGAGGACCAAGTTGGCAAAAGTATGTCACTGGGAACAGGTCTTTGGTTGTCCCCTCCTCAGCCTCTGCTTCCCGTTTACCTCAGGCCACCTACTTCTGCCACGGTGGTGCTCTGCCCAAGTGCATGGGGCCAAGCAACCATGTGCTGAACTCTCCAAAACTGTGAGTCAAAATGAATCCTTCCTACCTGAAGTCATTCTTTGGGTATTTTGGTCACAGCTATGCAAATATAACTAACACAAATACAATAAAATACTACAGGATGCCATTAAAATATCTTTTAGAAACTTGGTGATGGTTAGTGTTGTCAGCTTTACAGAATCCAGAATCACCTGAAAGAAGGGCCTGGGCATGTCTGTAGGAGATTACCTTGATCGCATGAATTGAGGTGGGAAGTCTGACCACTATGGGTGGCACCATTCCCTAGATAGGATCCTGGACTTCACAGGATTGAAGAGAAAGCAAGCTGAGCACAGGCACTCATGCATTCATCAATGTCTGCATCATTACTACAGCTATGATGTGATCAGCTCCCTCAAGCTTTGCCCCTGTGCCTTCCCCTCCGTGCTGGACTGTACCTTAGAACTGAGAGCCAAAAATTGTCTGAAGTTGTTTTTCTCAGTATATTTTAAGGCTTAGAAATTAAGAGAACTAGAAAAAGATGAAAATAAAATTTAAGGCACCAAACTATGTTCAAATCATGTAGAAAACTTTAAAATTACGTGGGAAAATTGTGAATGGTTAATTTACCTGTGACTTGGGCATTATTTTCCTCTATTCCTTGTTTTCTAAGTTGCTGTCAGAAAATACACAGTATTTTCATCACATGAACCTCCTCATTTCTTCAATGACAGCAGTTAATCAGGTGGTAGTGAAACCTCCTCTTGCTCAGGCAGCCTGTGACTGACTCTGTGTCAGCAGGCAGTGGTTGGTAGCTGTAGATAGAACTTCTTAGGGTTTGCTCTGTGTGTGTGTGTGTGTGTGTGTGTGTGTGTGTGTGCACGCAGTAGGGCAGGCTTAGCCCTCTGCAGACTGTACCTCTTTAACCCTAGGTGTAGTGAGGGAGAGTTTAGAAGTCAAGGTAGATTCCACAGAGGACACTAAACTTCCAGTATATACTAGGGAAAGAGATCCTCTTTTGTCATCTTTGGGGTTGCTAATTAGAACTGTCAGAGGCAACGTCTTTGCCACCCAATTGTAGTGTTACTGTGAGGAAAATCATTCGGAAAAAAAGGCATATCTCAGACAGTCAAACAAACACAAGAACAGTTTTTGTTGACTTCACAGAATGTCTAATACAGCGAGGCAGACCTGCTGCACACTGACCTTGGTGGCTGCTTTGACTTCACTGAATCCCCAAATCGATAAAGCAGATCAGCTATAAGCTAACTCTTGGGCGTTTGGCTGTCTGTTTCTTGACAATTCTCAACCAGCTCCGGTGATTTTATTATAGCCTCTGTGCAAGCTCTAGTCCTCAGCCTGTATACATAGGTGGTGATCTTGGCTGGAGTACTGTGGTGAATAGTCAAGGTTCATGGGGATAATGGTCCCCAGTCTTGGCAAACACTGAAGGAAACAGTACCATGGTACCAGTCCCCACTAAAACATGGTGTTTTAATTTCCACATCATAAACGCCATTCTTTATTCTGGGAGAATATCTGAGCCCTAAGAAACTTTGTGTCAGTTATCTAAGTGTGAAACTGACACCCCTCACCTGAGAGCCACACAGTGCTGGGGTAGACGCTGTGAGACCAAGACACAGCCTGCTTTTTCTGCATCACAATTCAGTCTCAGCTGGGTGGTAGCCTAGCTTTCAACCACACCCCTATCAATGTAGAGCAAGGTTCCTGTTCTCTGTTACCCCATATATTCAAGTCACTTGACCCTCTCCCTGCACTGGGCCCTAAGCAGGCATCCCACAGCCTCTTAGCTGGAGCCTCCCTGATGCTAAGCCCCTGCATCTGGCCCCTGGATATTGTTACAGGGTCACAGTCTTTAGAAAAATCCTCCTGTGCTTCCCAGGGTTGGATGCTTTTGATCTTTCACTGCAGTTGTGTGGAATCTTCCCTCCTGCATACCACACTCTGCTAGATGCTGGCTTTTTAGGATGTCAAGCTACAACCCTGCCTCCAGGGAACATCAGCCTTGGGATACAGAGCAATACTATCTGTAACCTACAGTACCGGGCACTTCCAAGGAGAAAGAAACACCTACACAAGCTAGAGGGACATTTTGAAAACTGCGGCAAAGCTTAAGCAATGAATACAGACAATGCAGGTGGCTGGTCAGCCCGAATGGTAGAATGAAAATAGACCACAGTCAGAGGAGGCAGGGAAACAGAAGCCACGCATGTCACTAATGAATGAAGCAAGCAGGTAGTCTCTGGAACAAGACCAAAGGAGAGGACAGGAGAACAGATCCATCAGTCTAGTGGAGCTCTCACATCTGACCCTAAAGGTGAACACGGAGCTGATGGTGAGTGATCAGGAAACTCCCATGGCACTAAATACCTTTGAGTCTAATTAGAGGATTGGCATGCTGCACACTGAAGCAAGAACAAGTCTGTGCACATGCACTGCTTTGCCAGATCCAAAGTCAGACCCTCACCATGGGCAGACCTCTTCTTGGCAGTTGACATTAAGTAGGCTTGAATCACCATATCCATTTTGCTATTGAAAGGGCTCCCCAAAACTCGGGGCTTACCCTGTCCCCTTTCCATCCCTCATGCCTGTCCCTGAGGTTTCAAGAAGCCCGAGGCTAAGGCCATGAGGGCAGTGGCAGCTGGGGAATTGCCAGCCTAAACCCAAATCTGCCCACAGATGAGCTATTGTGGTCCTCACCACAGGAATATGCTCTGTGGCTTCTGTGCTGCTCTGAATGGCTCTCCCATATGCTAAGATTATGGCATTTCAAGACACTGGGCCATGTTTAGTTCTATCCAGCTCCAGGCCCTTGCCAAGGACTCAAAACCAAATGCAGACTAGGACATAATTCTACTCCCAAGGAGCTCAAGCCTGGAGCAGCAAGGGTGACCGTGTTTTCCAATGTCAGTCCCAGGCACTTCAAGGTTATGTGATTGTGTTTCTCATAATACTGCTCAGATTCATCCTAGGGGGCTTCTGAATTATGACTCACAGGCACCCTGCCCATATATTCAGTCGTCACCATTTCAGTCTTGATCTAAGGCTCCCAAGAAGTCTCCCTAGGGACCTGCTAATCAGATTCTGGACTGCTGAGGTGCAGAGGAGAATCCGGATTATATTTCTTCCTTGGCTAGGTCCCCTCTGAGACCGTCCCCCTGATTTTAGAGGAGACTTTATGACACAAGTGAAAGATGAGCTCAGCTCTTGCTTTTTAACAAGGAATTAGGAAAATGCAAGAAACATTCGGGCATCAATCTGCCTGATTGCGGTATCCAGCCTTAGCAACTGACTATTCTCACAAGTACCACGAGACATGGACCAGACAGCCAACATCTGAATCCCTCACCCCCATCTTACCTGAGCATGGCTGCTTCCATCCCGGCTTCCTCCGGCTCCCAGACAGCTGTCTTCCAATGTAGCTTGTCTCAGAGGCGCAGTGCACTGTGCTGTTCTCTGCAGTTGGGCAGCTATCAAAACATCACCTGAACTGAAGCATGAATCTGGATTTGGGGTCCTTGGCAGAGGCTTCCAGGGGTGTTTGGCACTGCCTGGCACAACCAGTGGTATCTGAGCATCATCCAGACTGCTGACCTGGCACAAATGCTTTGTAAAACAACTCATCTCCCTTGTATGGGGAAGCTTTAACTGTCTCTTCCCCAAGCTCATAGCCCTCAAGCCTCTGAGACAGGCAATGCCCTAGATACTGCGATTCTCATGCCGGGAGCCGTTCATAACCATCCCCTGCAGACTGTGCCAGCTAGGAGAAAGTCCTTACCACTCGCACAGTGATTATGACTCTGAAGACTTCTATTTATCACCACCCCCAGCCACTGCATCAGTTAATTCTCTTAATATATTTTAAGTAAGAAGAGAATGTAAGGATCCTGGCTCTTCCGTAAATACCTATCTACTGAAGTCATTTTTATATCCTTGAAAAAAAAATTTCCAGCAACCCTCCCCTGATTCTGATACATGTTAATGTCATTTGACATACCTGCTTAAATCTCCACATAGAAAGGATATGGTTGATTGTAGAGACGGCTATTTAAAACCTGAAGCTACTTCAGAGGTTAATATACATGCTAGGACGAGGATCGTGGGGTTGGAGAGTGAAGAATGCATGGGAAGAGCAGGGTGGAAGCTCTGGGGAGCTGGGTTCCTGCAGTAGAAATGACATCACTGTGCAGATTCGGGGAGAAGAGGGTTGTTCCTGAGACCTCAGAGCTCCAGGGCTGGCAGACATTTGGGTCAGCTGATAGGAAAGTCCTGGCCAGTTGACAGCATCACCAGTCCAATGTTTTGCTTCGTTATGCACTGGCACGTCTACGGGTAGCTTGTAGAGGCAATGGAGTGTGTGCTAGGATCCCTGAAGGCTCCCAGGCTTCAGAACCCCGCTCTATTTAGCACTGAAACTCTTACCAGTTGTCCCAGTAGTGATGGACTCCATGTTCCCATTGATGAGGCAGGAGGGCATGGCTGGCCACTGAGCCCATGCAGTCCCTGTGAGGAATAAACAAGTTAGTATATGCAAAATCACCTGGAACACCTTCTTGGTCCACCTTGTGTTCACTAATTGCTGCCACTGTGGCTGTCTAGGATGTTTCTGTCTCTACCACGATCATCTTACTAACTCACTGACTGAGTGCTGTGTCTGCACACCTCTGGCTGTAGTCTGCCCTCTATCTGTGGGCTCTACGCCCATGGATTTAACCAAGTGTGGATTTAAAATACTCAGGGCTTGGGGGTATGTCTCAGCAGCAAAGAGACTGCTAGTATTCCCAAGGCCTTGGGCCTGACACTCAGCACTGGAAGAAAGGAAAGAAGACACTCAGAAAAGTAAGTGCAGCTGTGCTGAACAGGGGCAGGAATTCTTCTTTGTACTGATCCTTAAGTGATAGAGAACGGCAGCACAGTGTGCACCTGTGTTACATGCTACCTGTAACCAAGAGGGGATCAAAAGCACAGGAAGGAATGTAGGGAAGTCACTGCTCCATTTCACCTAAAGGACTCCAGCCTCCTTGGTTGGGGTATTTGTGGGAGTCCCAGAACTTGTTATCTCTGGATACTGAGAGATATCTAAATATGTATAGTCACAGTCATAAAGGAATCAGAGTCTGTTGAGGCTTTGGAGATAGCATTACTCTCCTGTGTCTAGACAATGGTGATGTATAACGTTAGTCATCAAGATCAACTTGACACAACTGGAACCATCTAGGCAGTGTCTCAAGGAAGGGCTGCTTAGGTCAGTCCTGTGAGCGAGTCTAGGAGCGATTTTTCCTGATTGGGTTATTTAACATGGGATGACCCATCCTGAATATGGGCAGCACCATTCCAAGGGCCGAGACTGTCAGAGAGGGGAAAGTGAGCTAAGCAAGTGAACATCAGCTTCATTTTCTCTGCTCTTTACTGTGGGTACCATGGGACCGGCTGTCTCAAGCTCCTGCGGTGGTGGCTTCCCCACAATGACGCACTGTAACTGTGCTGAAATAAACCCTTTCTCCCCTGAGCAGCTTCATGTCAGTGTGTTTTATCACAGCAACAGAAATGAAGCAAAGACACCGACAGAGTCTTGCCCTGTCAAAAATCCAAGGTCAGTTGCTGAGGACTTAATGTGTGCTCAGCCTTCCATGTGGCACCTTTTCTACAGCATTCTATGTGTCTCAGCCTCTATGTAATCTTCCTTTCAATAAGCATTTAAAAATACACTTGGTTTTACCAGACAGTGCTCTCACATGAAAGTCATTTAACCTTGCCTAGGTTGAGGATCTGGCTAGTGTCCATCGACGCTTGGGATGCAGGGAGTGTAACTCAGTGTCTCTCTTGACATGAACTTCTGAAATTAGGGAAGATTGCACACAGACAGGAAAATGGAGGGACACTTCTCTGGGGAGAGTGGGCCCGTTCTTTTCTCTCTCTGCAGGCGTGATGATGGTGTCCACATTTTCAGGGGTGCCTGGATCTTATAAAAAAGTTCAAGCCTTCAGTATGCGTCTTTCTAAATGCAGTATGTAACATATATGTATGCATGTGTTTGTGTGTATCCTATACTTAATAATAACAATATATGTAAACCAGAATTCAGTTAGCTTCATATGTCACTTACAGAAGCCAGTAAGTCAAGATAGGGATTGAATCTTAAAACTTCACTTGATTCTCTGTCTGAGAAGACAGTGTGGGGAGGTCAACATCCCCGTGATCTGTCTTCCATCTCATCTCCAGCAGAGAGATAATACAGGGAGTAAGAGAGACTCATATTTGTGTCCCTGAGTTCTACTCCAGTGTAGTTCAACCAATTTGTATCCAGATAATCCTCTTGCCTGGGGCAGGGAAGGCTCTGGTCCACTGGGGTACTGATCCATCACAGGATACTTAGCAGCATCCCTGGCTTCTACCTGCTAGATGCCAGTAGCATCCACCAGTTCAGTCAGATGTCTCTGCATTTTACAGCTGTTTCCTGGGGACAAAATTACTACAGTAGGTTGACTAACGGGACAGAGTTGATGTTCGGAAAAAGCTATTGTTGAGAAATTTCCAAATTATGGTAGAATTCATTTCATATCGCATAGGTTTCAATCATTTGACAATTCACCTCTCTCCATCTATTGCTCTACAAGCGTGGACCACAGAGGCATTCATTTAATCACCGACTAGTAAACTGAATGGTTATGCTGATCACTTCCTTCATCTTAAGTTCTCCCCTAGCCCTGAGTATGGAATTGTAAGAAGAATAACCTTCTGTCCACGTGGAGATTGACAGACAAATCAAAGCATTTCTTAAAGCACCAACACACAGAAGCAGATCCACATGCCGGGTCATCTACAGGTGTTCATTCATGCTCAGAGTGTGACACTATCACACCTAGCTTCCAGGCCCAGAAGTGGATAAGATGCAGCGCCTGCCTTCAGGCAATAACGGGTAAAGAAAACCTAATAAACAAAGTGCCACAGTGATGTTTATTCTTGTAATAACTATTCAATCAGAGCCTCACAGGCTGACAATATGACCTTGAGTGAAATTGCTATGACCTCACACAGCTTCCAGTCCAGAAAGTAAGGTGTCGACTGAGAAAAAAGGAGGATTATGGGGGAAAGAAGGGCTACTATGGGGTCTGGGTTGGTAGCTCCTTTTCAAAAATTTTTTATTATATTTACTTATTTGTTTATTTGTATGTGTGTGGACATGTGTGCCTGCAGCCACACACATGTGTGGGTATGGAGGTCAGAGGAAAACTTGCAGGAGTTGGGTCTGTCCTTTTACCATGTAGGTCCTGGAGATCAAATTGAGGTCATCAGGCTTGGCTGCAAGCATGTTAACCTGCCCCGCTGTCTTGTCAGCCCCAGAAGCTCCTGTTTTAGATTGTAGGATGTACTTGTGATTTTAACAAGACCTCAAGTGGCACGCTCACCCGCTTATGCTTGTGCGTGTGTCTGTGTGTGTGTGTGTCTGTATGTGTGTGTCTGTGTGTGTGCATGTATGTGTATGGGGGCAGGACTATGTGCCACAGCAGACATGTTAGGTCAGAGGACAACTGTGGCCTGGTCTCTACTTCTACCTTAAAGTGAGTTCTAGGGATCCAATCCAAGTCATCAGGCTGGTGTAGTGTTTTACTCACTGAGCCATCTTGCAGGTCCTAGTTTTTGGCATTCCTCCAGTTAAAGAGGTTTGGTTCCTCTTCTTCCTCCTGAATGTGTCTATGGACCACTCTGTTAATCATATTTTGGTTACAGCATCCTAACCAGACTAAGATATACCACACAGGGTATTAAAAAGCTAACTAGACTAAGATGCCCCACACAGGGTGTTAAAAATATTAGATAAAAAAGAATTATTCACAAAGCAACAAAACCAGCATGTAGCATCGTATGGACGCTTTGGGGAACAGTGGATGTTCTCAGACTTCCTTCCTGAATCGTTTGCCTTCCCTGAAAAATGCAAGGTCACTGTCAGATAGCTGTCTCTCCTTATCACCTATTCTCTTCAGAAAGCAAAATAACACCCTAAATGAGGGAAATGAAACAGCCCTGAAAATGAGTTCTATAAAATGTAAAGCATCACACAATACAAATGCACACAGGCATCAGGCTTCGTAGCCAGCAGGAGGGCAGTTGGAGCACCACCATGCTGTGGCTCTGTGGCGAATCATCACACTGGAGCTCTGAACATCATCCTCTATTTCCCACTCCAGGTTCTAGGTGAGTGCACAGGGCACAAAGGAAACTTTAGAAAATATTAACCATGTTTGGCCACTTTTACAGACGGGAATGGCTTATGTGCAGATGAGAGTGTCTCTGAAGACAGGATAAGCCCCTGGGGTATATTTGATGAACTGGCCATTTGGAGTGCCCACTGTGGTGTTTATCCCTCCTTCCCAATGACACCTGGCAATGCGCCGCAGAAAAGGCCCTGACTACCTGGGCCATGTGGCGACTGGGGCTCCTCAGGAGTAAAATGCTGCTGCCATTTCTGAACAGCTAGCAAGCAAGGGGAGGGAGAGGGGAGGAAAGGAGATGCTGGTGCTGGGCAGTGCACCGCAGCCTACAAGCAGAGGTCTGCCCTTGCTGTGACCTTCTTCTCCCCAGTCATTCTCATTCTTCATTCAGCCATCACGGGCTCTTCCAGGGCCTACACTGGCATGCATGTGTCTGTTAGTTCAGGGTAACCTTTTAAAGGGACACGGGAAGTGCTTTTTCCTCCAGGGTTCCTAGGCAGCTTCAGAAGAAATGAGCAACATCTATGAATATTTCATGACGAAATTAATGTGGCAAAGCAAAGACATCCTGGAGCGTGGGGGAGCGCTTCCAGCCAGCTGATCTTCATTTCTTTTCTGGGTGAGTTGTTTTTCCTTTCTGGCTACTTCCAATCTGGTCAGATGTAGATTTAAAAACAAAATACACTGAACACAGACCAATTGCACAGGAGCAGACATTTGGTGGGCTGATTAGTAATACCTCAGGAGAACTTGGGAGCTGTTTGTTGCTATGAATATGTTACTAATAGGTAAACTAAGATTCAAAGGGTTTGAATACACAGTTCCTGATCAGACAGCCGAGTATAAGAACTGGAATGAACAAATGAGTCATCTGAGACACTGCACAGTAAGCACATGTGTTTACAGATACCTTAGGAAGTCCATATCCTTTGTATAACCTACTTTTTAATGGCATTGCTTTTAGTTTGACTCTTAATCACGTCATAATGGATGTGTTTTCTCATTTCCTTTTCTGAAGTGGAAAT